AACCCAGGCCCTTCACTCTGAGTGACACCCCTAGCCTTTTTCGATTTTGATACAGGGTCTCACTAAATTGCCTGGATAGAACTTGTGATCCTCCTGCCTCAGCTTCTCAGAGTGGTAAGATTACCAGTGTGTACTACCATGCCAACCTCTCTTATTCTCTGTTCTGTGGTTGAAATATATCTGGATGAGACATTAGTGTGGCCCTTCCAAACCAAGAATCAAGCCAGCACTGGCCCTGGTGATTTAGTTGGAAGAGTGGAGGGACAGGAAGGTACATGTCCTTGAACAAACTGGAGAGCTTCTAGCCTTTTGTTTGTGTCCTTTATTTCACCATCTGCAACATAGTGATAAGCTTATCTGGTTTCACTACTCTTAGAGTTATTGAAAGAATGAAATGAAACAGTGGCTTTAAAAATACATTGGAATCAGACTAGTACTATGGAAGGGTAAGGCGATATTGAGAGTTGAAAATATCCTTGGGGACCAATTCTCAATTTTGTGTCTTGATAGAAATCAGACCTAGAACCAGGGAAGACATTTCAGAATGTGACTGATCATGAGATGGCCTCAGCTGAGCTCAAACCTCTGAGTGCTCCAGGAGATTTCTCATTTCCAGCTTTCTCATATGAGAATGAATATATAGAAACAGTATGTGAAATGGAAAAATAAAAGGTGAATGGATTAGGACATGAAATGAAAGCTTCCCTTAGAATAAGATGGGTCTCAAACATCAAGTATCACATAGCAACTAATTGACTCTGTTCCATATATCTCCACTTGCTTTTCTCAAAGCTGAGAAAACCAAACTCAGGTTTGTCCATTGAGTAGCTATCCCCACCTGCCCCTTCACAATTTGACATCCCTGAGAGGTGGCTCGGGTTTGCTTGCTGACCTCATCCCCAGCTTTCCTTCTTAACACTTCATCAAGACTGCCTTTCTGAGCTCACGAGCAGTCCCCAAAGTCACCACATGCCTCTATCTGACTTACTACAACACTGACTCACTCGCCTTTGAAATTCTCCCTTCTTTTGGCTCCTGAGGTCCTCTTCTTTCTTGTTTATTCTGTTTTTTGATCCTTGCTTTTCCCTTGTCTCCCTGGCTTTGTTCCATTACTCTTGGCCTCCTCTGAGTTTCTCTGTAGACCTATTTCCCCTCCCTCCCAACTATGACCCCCATGGGCAGTGTCACTCACTTCCATGACCATGTGTGCCAAGGGGCCTTTGGGAATAAGGACAGCAACAGTGAGTTCTTCTGAGTATGACACATTGGACATGTGACCTGCAATAGCTCTAACATTTGTCATCCATCAGGCACTGACTTGAGATTCAGCTCCCTTACTTTGACTCCTGAGATTTGGTCATGGGCTTCCAAGGTACTACCTCAAGCTGAAAGTGCCTAGAATCTCTACTTCACCCTCCCCCAGTCACCCTGTATTCCCTGGCTTTCAGAATTACCCCCAGAAGATAAGATTGTGATCTCCATTCTTCTCTCGATTCATAAGGTTGGAGACATCTGTGGACCATGCTGGCCCTTCTGTCTCTATGCCTACAGTCAGTACTTTATCACTCTGCCTCTGCTCCTTGCCAGTCTATAAATGGCAGCAGAGTGATCTGTCTAGAACACAGACACAGACTGTCCACTTCCTGCTTTCCAGTCTTTCCAAAGTCAGGTCCCTTGTCACAGTGTTGCACCATACTGGATCTGAGCCCCCTTCCACCTCTCAGCCATATCCCCTATGAGTTAGCAGCTTGTTGCTTGAAGTAGCACCTTTTGGCTGAAAAAAGCAAGTTGTTGCCAGAAGAAGAAAGCTATATTGTGAAGTCAGCTTGTTGCCTGGAGAAGTCATGTGCTTTATTATCATGTTTAGCATTTGTTCTGTGTTCTCCCGAACTCCTGAGTTTTACTTTTCTCAGAGTCGCACTTACACAACAGGGTTTCCTGGGAGGCCCATCCTGATCTCCCTGCCTATGAACAAATCCATCTTTTCCTTACCTTCATTAGGAGGCCACGCACATCTCTAGGATGTGCATTCCTACCAGGCACTCATTTAACTCATGCAAATATGGCCTGTGGGCCTGCAGATACAGATGCCACAGAGATACCCTTTAAGTGGTATACGAGTCCTCTCATGTCCCCCAGGAACATGTGGCCAGAGCGAGAGGGAAGAGCCATGTTTACTGTCTCCATGTGTCCTCCAGCTCTCATGGGAACTATTTCTTACTTCCTGAGAGTAACACCGATCCATTCTGTTGGCTATCATAGTGTCACACAGCCTCTAAAATAAGCCAGCTCAACTCTGCTCACTGCACAGTGCACCAGTGCTCTGGAAAAAAGAAACAGCTGCATTGAACTTGTGGAACTGCCATATTAAATGTGTCAAACTGTAAGGTAATTTGAAGATCAGTCTTTACTCTGCTTTAGGTACCATTTCTTCCTTCTGTATGGTCCTAAGCCCTGAGTCTACACGATTTGAACCTCAGCTCTACAACATGACCACACAGTACTCTCACTCTTAGCTTCTATTTCTACATCTCCCAACAGCCCTATTTTTGTGCTCTCTCTTTGGATGCCAGCCCTGTGGCTGCCCTGTACCTTAGAGAGGAGCCTCACACCTAGTAGCATGATTGTAGAACTTTTGATGATGGACTCTGAGACTTCCCTTGTGCCCTGGCTCATGTAATTCATTGCTGTAGTTATGGCTATGCCACCACAAAAGGTAACACAGACAAGGTTAACACTTACACTTTTCTTTAAATGCCAGTGGGGATCTTGGGAGCCTCCCCATTTCTGCTGAGAGTGTGCGAAGTACTCTTTACCTCAACTTTGTAGATTTTTCCCATGTTCCATGGGGTCTTACAGTTTTGTCTCACCTTGAACCCACCTCACCTCATGGCTTTGCTCAATGAAACACCTTTGAAAAGTGCAGTAGGTGGGCAACCCATTTTCTGCTCCCCTTTCTGTGTCTCTTAGACAGAAGCTATCTTCTCTCAATAAATTTTTCCTACTCTTAACCTCTGTTGTTCCTAGAATTTATTGTTTGATATTAGCGAACACAAACTCATGTTTTGGATACCTAGCAGGTTTGTGAGTTGCATCTATTCCCCCTATATGGACTGAGGAAGGTGAGGAACTGAGGGTCCCTTGGTGCTGGACGGGCCACATAAATCCATAGACTTTTCCAGGGCAGAGCTGGATCAAAAGTAACTTTAGCTGTGCAGGTCCCAGGATGTTTGTCATAGCTCTTCAACAATAGTGCCTAAATGCATGGGTGTGGCTGGGGCCCAATGCTACTTATATGTGGACACTGAAATCTGAGTTTAATATAATTTTCACATGTTGTGAAATATTCTTTTTAAAAATATGAAACCGGCTTGCTTGCAGCAAGCCAGGCAGAGCAGTAATGTTGACGAGAGGGCCACAGTGTCCGAGCATGAGGCTGAATATTCTGTAGGTATTAGTCTCTGTGAGTGCCCCCATCACCCTGAAATTGGACAGTATTGTCACATTTGCAGATGAGGATGCTGAAGGCCATGGAGGCAGAATGCTGAAGGGTGTGGAGGTGGAAACCAAGTATCTGGGCCTGATTCTGAGAGATCCTAGAAGCTAGTGCTCAGCTACCTCCCAGAAACACGCATTAACTTTTCTTTCCCTGTGTGTGGTATCAGGATGAGCGCATAAATCTGGACTCCAAAAGGCCAAGGTTCAGAGGGAAGACTGAGGAAGCTTCCTCCAGCATTCTTGCTCTGTCTGTCTTGCTCTAGCCCTGTAAGATCTGGCTTTTTTAAACATGTGATGGTTCCATCACAGCTCCCCACCAGGGTCTTTCCTGTTCCCTCTTCCTTTTTGGCTAACCCACAAAGAGGAGGACACCAGCCAAGGTATTGTGGTTGGCTCCATGATGTCTCCACTTAGAGAGTTGTCCATTTCTTTTTAGAGAGGCTTGGGGACTGTTTCCAAAAACCCTCTCTACCAACTAGTTTATTTCTTGTGTCTACTTAGCAAGGTCTTAATATCATTTTTAAAAACTGTTGAGGCAATTCTACCTACAGTTTCTGCAACTTTTTCATACACCTCTAACATCATCATATAGCTGTATTTTAAAATAATTGAAATTTGGATATGGTAGGAGATATAGTGGTTTGCATCGTTTAAAAGAGCAGATTTTTTAATGGTCCTTGGGTAACACTTTGCATGTTTGACTGCCATGTAGGGCACCTAGTTGCTGGACATCAGGAGAAAAAGGTTTGATGAACTCTGGTTTTTGGCTGTTCATTTGTCCAAGGACATATGAATGGCTGCTGTGTCTCAGATCCTGGGTCAAGTTGCCAAGATGCACAAGAGAACAAGACCCAGTCCTTCTCTTGATACAAATTTGAAATAAGAACTTAGAGACCAGGGGTTTTAAAACATAAACAAGTTAATGGTCTTAAACTTTTACTAAAATTTTAGAACAGATTTAGGATAAATGAAAAATTGCAGAGACAATATTGAATATTCCATATAACCAACACCAGGACTTCGTTATTCACTTTTATACAGTATATTTGTAACAAAGGTACATGTTTTTTTTTTTCTTGTCCAGCCTGAAATGTTTTAATAGGTGAGATTCGAGGGATTAGGGTCATTTAAAAAAGCATGTAACTTCTGAAAGGGTTATGATTCTAAAATTTTGCTTTAAACTAAAAAACTTATTTTCCCCAGAGAGATCCAGTGTGTATTACTGTTGCATTTCATAATTTCATATCATGCAAAGGCTAAGAAGGCTGTCATCTGTGCTTACCATGGAATTGCTCTGAAGTCACTACATATGAGCAGTGAAGACAGTTGCATCATAGCTGCTTGATAACAGTCTTGATAGTGATGAAGATGTTTGGTTTAATCAAAATTTCAAGTTCACAGTTTTTAAAAAGTCCTCCTATTCTTTCCTTTAAATATTTTTAAGCCTATCACAAGCATGCCACAGCTTATGTAAAATTATGCTTGAAAAAACAACCGAACAGCTGCCATCAATTAAGCAGACTGGATTCCTCTGCTAGGTGCCCAGTGTGCAGTGGCTGTGAACAGCAATCTCCTCGGTAGTGTATCTGGCCCGTTGTTTAGTATGCGCTGCCCTAAGGGACCTCGGAGACACTGCTTCCAGGCGAATGTTTGTTATCTGAGCTCCCGCTGTGGCCGGTCCAGGCTCTGCACAGGCATGTGTGGTGCCTTTGGGAAGCCCCAGGGCCCAGTAGCGAGGGTTCACATTGGACAGGTGATCATGTCCATCCGCACCAAGCGGCAGAAGAAGGGACATGTGATTGAGGCCTTACACAGGGCCAAGTTCAAGTTCCCTGGCCTCCAGGAAATAGATCCACATCTCCAAGAAGTGGGGCTTCACCAAGATCAGTGCAGATGAATTTGAAGACATGGTGGCCAAGAAGCACCTCATCCCTGTTGGCTTCAGGGTGAAATACATCCCGAACCATGGTCCCCTGAACAAGTGGCAGCTTTGCACTCCTGAAGACTTCCACTGTGCTGCCTCTCCCCACTAATAAGTTCATCAATCTCATCTCTCCCTCAAAACAAACAAATAAACACAACTGAACATAGAGCCATTAGATAACTGCGACATATGGGAGTGTAGAGAATTCATGGGAAAACATTTTGAATTTGTACTGAGTTAATGTGCTCGTGATGCTCCCATTTCTTGCATGTGGCCCTGTAAGCATCAAGTATATGTTCCTGGAAGTGCATACTTGTGTTTTATGACCATTTATTTTCATTATTTTCTGCTTAAAGAGAATAATCAAATATATAAAATTAAAATTTCATTTCTCCTAACGAGAGTAATTAAACACTAAGGAAAAAGATTTTGTTGGGTTGTGTTGAGATTTTTAGGACCATAATGACTGAGTTTTCACCTCCTTCCTAAGTGGCAAGTTTTACCTCTTTGAAGCAATAAACAGCTCCACTGAGATACATATCATATATAAAACAGGCAAAAGGAAATGTTTGTCTCCCAAGACCACATCTTTTTGAGGGAATCTAGCCCATAGAGATTTGGACCAATAAGGATAAAAGTTGATGTACTGTTCATCCCACTCAAAGACTTTTCTTGCTAGACTTGTTAAAAATATTTTTTAATATAAAAATAGTTTTAGATTTTTGAAAAAAAATTGCAAATATAGTACAAAGTCCCCATATACCTCATACCAAGCTTCTCTGATATTAACATCTGACATTATTGTCATACTTGGCACACTTAATGGACCAACACTGATAGCTTATGATTAATTTAAACCCATGCCTTATTCAGATTTCCTTAGTTTTCCCCTGTTATCTTCTTTCGGTCCCAGGAGCCCATTCAGGATCCCACATTCCGTTTAGTCTCACGTCTCCTTAGAAATCTTTTAGTTGAGAGAGTTTCTTAGGCTCTTCTTGCTTTTGCTGACTTTGACAGTCTTCAGGAAGGCTGGTCACAGGACTTTCTAGACTGTTCTTCAGCTGGGATTTGTCTGATGTTTTCCTCATGACTATAATGGCTTGTCTGTTTTAGAGAGAAGACTACAAAGGTAAAAGGTCATTCTGGTTACACGGCACACACTGTTACATGTCCACATCACTTATCCTCCTTGGTGTTGATGTAATTACCTGGGTGAGATATTGTTTTTCAGGATCATCCACTGTGAGATTCCACACAGTGAGATTGAAGGAAGTCACTGTACAACCTACACTGTGCATAGGAGAAGTTATGTTTCCTCTCTTTTAGAGGAAAGTAGCTACATACGTTATTCTGAAATTTTTGTTGTAAACTTTTATACTGAATTCTTTTTAAAACTTTTATTAATGTATATTGATATATATGTGACAGCTGCATTCATTTTAGGGAACTAATACACATATATATGAAATTTCTTGGTTAGTTTTTTATTCCTTTACCCACTCCCCTCTGTCTTTTTCCCTCTGCTCCTCTGCTCCTCTGTTTTCTACCACTTTCCTTTATTTTACTTTTTAATTAATTTGTTTTTTGTGTTTCTCCTATAAGAGAAACCATGTGATATTTAGTATTCTGTGTCTGACTTCTTTCACTTAAAATTATGGTCACAATATACATCCGTTTTCCTATAAATGACATGCTTTCATTCTGCTTTATAGAGGAAATATATATAGATTTAAAAGAAACAATTAAAAATTTTACCTGCTGGGATACAGCTGACACTTCCCATATCCTTTCACATAACCAACTGTAGAAATTATACAAAGAACACATACCAAGAATCTGGCCTTTTATGTTGTACATGCCACAAAGGTCAAAAAAAGAAGGGCGATTTTCAGTAATAAGTTCTTGAGAATCAAACTTAATCATTAAAGTCTTTCCTCTAAAAAGTTATTTTTACAAATGAACTTCCAATTTTGCAGCCTTTGACCTATCACTGGCATTTTGCATTTGCTGAGCTGATCTGTGTCTCGAGGCTGCTTTTCAGCTAATTACTTGAAATTTATTTGACCTTTCCCTAAAAGTGGCACAGAAAAAAAGACTTTATTAATCTATTATAACTATTTTCAAATGCATTTTTTGCTCAGAAAAGGTACTAATGGTCTTCTTGCTTGAACCCACTAATTTTCTTAGCATATAGTTGAGAGACTCAGTCATGAATCCAAAACAGCGAGCACAGGCTAACTGGACTGAGGTTATGGACTGTGTCATTTATGTACCCATAGAATCCCTTCACTGGGTCCACTTTCTTGTCCCCACAGCCTTCCTATGGGGGACATCTCAGAGCAAATGTGCTTGGATTGGTCCTAATTCAGAAGCATCATGCATACAATATTTCTCATCATTGGTGAGTTAGCAAAGATATACTTGTAAAAACGTTACTTTTACAAGTTAGCTTCTGATTCTCCAGCAGTTGACCTAACTCTGGTACATTTACAAGTGTACATGACTTATTTTCATTCCTGTTTCCCAAACGTCAGCACCATGACTCAACAGCATGATCTTAATCTAATTATAGAAGCAGCTGTACATAATAGTTTGTGCATGCTTAATGTACTTGTTTTTTAAACACATAAAGTGAATATAAGTGATTAAAATAAAATATGCTGTGTATGTCTTAAAATGCATTTGTCTAGATTCAGGGAACACATTATTCCAGTTGGTGGATGCTGTTTTAGATCTTTAACAATTTCACCATTTTTCCACCTAATGCATGTTTATTAAAAACCTCATCAGGGTTCCCATGTGCACATTTAGGGCATGGTGTGGGGTGTTCCTTCTCCAGAGCTGAGTCATGTAAAACCTGCCCAGCAGGGAAGTTGTCTAAGAATTTTAATAACTTTTCAAGGGGAAAAACAGCAATTGGAGATTATCCTACTTTTCTGTTGAGTCCTTTCTCTATATTCATTTAATCAAACAAATATTTATCGAGACAACCTTATGTAGCAAACCCTGTGCTGGATGCTACAGATATTTTGTGAGATATTCTGCTAGAGATATTTTATGCAACGATGCATAAAAACTGGTAATTGCACTTTTGAACTACTTTACTGCTTGCTAGAACAGAAGCCTTGAAATTATTAACTCCTTCCAGAGGACAAACACAAGGGAGAGTTAAGGACCCATGGGGAGGGGTTAGAATTCTGTCTTAGTGCCTTTGAAATCCAGCCCCTTCTTTTATAGTTCAAAACAAGACCACTGGGGCACACAGTCTTTAGTCCTGCCTGTTTAGCGAATAAGAATATGTTTGCATTGACAGAAGTGTTGCTGTTTTAGTGTTCTTTGACACAGGTGTATCTGTTAAGAGGACTGTGTGGGACTGCATCAGCTCTCTGGAGCTGCAGTCCACAAGACACCAGCTTGACTGTATGTGTCTTCAAGGACTTGTGAGAGTAGGCATTTGCTAATGGATGTTTTCAAGTCTGGGATTGCTTTGGAAGTTAAGAATCCAGTTCTATAGACCCCTTGCCTCATATTCTTAAGTAAGCAGAGAGGAGTTTTTTTCCCTTTTCTTTTTGCAGTGCTGAGGATTGAACTCAGGATCTAACATGTGCTATGCAATGCTCTACCAGAGTTATACTGCAAGCCCTAAAAGGGAGATGTTGAAGGTTCTGCTCTGGGATGGGCTTGGTAGAGACTGCATTGTCCAGCCTGCTGTCCTGTTGGCGGGTGTAGAACTTCATCTGGTTCAGTCTAGGAGTGTTTCTGGGAAGTCAGCCGCCATGGGAAACTGCCTGTATGTTTCCCATACAAACTGCTCATCCTCCATCCTCCAAGTTTCCAGAGTTGAAGGTATATTCTGAGTTTCAAAGCACAGCTTTCAGTTTTCCAGAGAGAGTTAGGAGGAGCCATATATTAGGAAGAACACAAGTCACATACAGTACATAGAATGCATTCGTTCCAGTTATGATGGACAGGACCATAGAGACACATCTTTGGCCCCAGCAGGAATTACAAGGAAAGAGTTGGCAGGCAAAGTTGGCAGGTTGGAAAATGAGTTGCAGGAGCATTAAAGATCTTCTTCTATAAAATAAATGTTCAGAAGCTGTGGAAATATACATCTTTAGTTAAACAAATACAGTTAATGACAAGACATGTACGTTTTTTAGTGAAATCTTACTGGTTACAACTACCTGTATTTTTAAATTCCAAGAATTTCAGTGTTGTCAGAATTGGCCTGCTATGCTCATTAACCTCAGAGGCAACTCCTTGCAAGGATGGTGACAACAAATTAATTTGACTATTTTATTTGAAGCAGCTCAGACCTAAGAAACTACTGCTGATATTTCTTTACTCTGCCCTTTTGGTTCAAATGGGAAGGACCTTGCACAAGCTCTAGTGTCTGTACGGATGGAGGGAGCCTACTGAGTCCCCCAGTCCCTCCTCTTCACAGAGAAAGGATTACAGGAGGATCAGCATCAATTGTGCTCTGTGTGAAAAGCTGGACTTTTATCCATTTTTGTAAATGACTATGGAGTTTATATTACAGATATTTATATTATTTTTATTTATTTTATATTACTGTCAGGATTAGGGTATGGGTGTGGAGTCTTCAGTTTAAGCTGGGCCTTGGATGTCATGCTAGGGAGTTAGAATTCAATTCTGAAGGTAATTGGGAGCCTCTGAATAGGAGTCAAATGACGTTTGGGAGCTGTAG